CTTAGTCACGACGATGACGTCATACAGCTTAGTCACGACGATGATGTCACACACAGCTTAGTCACGGCGATGACGTCATACATCTTAGTCACGACGATGATGTCACACACACAGCTTAGTCACGACGATGACGTCACACACACAGCTTAGTCACGATGACGTCACACACACAGCTTAGTGATGACGATGATGTCACACACAGCTTAGTGATGACGATGACGTCACAGCTTAATAACGACGATGACGTCACACACATCATCGTGAGTCTATGAGTCTCTGCGTGAGTCTACGGGTCTCTGAGTCTGTGGGTCTCTGTGTGAGTCTGTGGGTCTCTGTGTGAGTCTGTGGGTCTCTGTGTGAGTCTGTGGGTCTCTGTGTGAGTCTGTGAGTCTCTGTGTGAGTCTATGGGTCTGTGTGGGTCTGTGGGTCTCTGTGAGTCTGTGGGTCTCTGTGTGTCTGTGAATTTGTGGGTCTCTGTGTGAGTCTGTGGGTCTCTGTGTGAGTCTATGGGTCTCTGTGTGAGTCTGTGGGTCTCTGTGAGTCTGTGGGTCTCTGCCTGAGTCTGTGAGTCTCTGTGTGTCTGTGAATTTGTGAGACCCTCTACGGGTCTCTGCGTGAGTCTCTGTGTGAGTCTGTGGGTCTCTGTGTGAGTCTGTGGGTCTCTGTGTGAGTCTGTGAGTCTCTGTGTGAGTCTATGGGTCTCTGTGTGAGTCTGTGAGTCTCTGTGTGAGTCTATGGGTCTGTGTGGGTCTGTGGGTCTCTGTGAGTCTGTGGGTCTCTGTGTGTCTGTGAATTTGTGGGTCTCTGTGTGAGTCTGTGGGTCTCTGTGTGAGTCTATGGGTCTCTGTGTGAGTCTGTGGGTCTCTGTGAGTCTGTGGGTCTCTGCCTGAGTCTGTGAGTCTCTGTGTGTCTGTGAATTTGTGAGACCCTCTACGGGTCTCTGCGTGAGTCTCTGTGTGAGTCTGTGAGTCTCTGCGTGAGTCTGTGGGTCTCTGCGTGGGTCTGTGGGTCTCTGCGCGGGTCTGTGGGTCTCTGCGTGGGTCTGTGGGTCTCTGTGTGAGTCTGTGGGTCTCTGCGTGGGTCTGTGGGTCTCTGCGCGGGTCTACGGGTCTCTGCGAGAGTCGGTGATGACTGGGGATGACACCAACTCTTCATAAGCCACTTTATCCACCAGTGTATAGAACATGGCTGACGATCTCCCTCCCCACCGCCTCCCCACTCCCCCCGCCTCCTCCTGCCGCTGCTGCTGCCCCCCTGCCCCTCTGCCCCTGCCCCCCCTCTGTTGGCGAGCAGCAGGAGGAGGGGGGGGGCAGCCCGCTGGCGCTCTCGGTGCCCGTGGGCAGCCTGGACCACGAGCCGGCTGTGCTGGCCCTGACGCTGATCACCGCCCTGGGCTGCTGCCTCCTGCTGCTGCTGCAGCTGCTGCTGCACGACAACACCACGAGGCCCTGACGCCGTGGGTGTCCTGACATCACGGGGGATGGCGTGGGTCACCTGACGCTGTGGGTGACAAGGTGGGTGACACCTGACGCTGTGGGTGACACGGTGGGTCACCTGACGTTGTGGGTGACACGGTGGGTCACCTGACGTTGTGGGTGTCACGGTGGGTCACCTGACATTGTGGGTGACACGGTGGGTCACCTGACGTTGTGGGTGACACGGTGGGTCACCTGACGCTGTGGGTGACACGGTGGGTCACCTGACGTTGTGGGTGACACGGTGGGTCACCTGACGCTGTGGGTGACACGGTGGGTCACCTGACGCTGTGGGTGTCACGGTGGGTCACCTGACACTGTGTGGGTGACACTGTGTGGGTGACACGGTGGGTCACCTGACGCTGATCACCGCCCTGGGCTGCTGCCTCCTCCTGCTGCTGCTGCACGACACCACTAGGCCCTGACGGTGATGGCGTGAGTCACCTGACACTGTGTGGGTGATGCTGTGGGTGATGCCGTGGGTGATGCCGTGGGTGATGCCGTGGGTGACGCCGCGGGTGATGCCGCGGGTGACGCCGCGGGTGATGCCGCGGGTGATGCCGTGGGTGACGCCGTGGGTGACACCGTGGGTGATTGGCGCTGTGGGTGACGCCGCGAGTCCCCTGACACTGGGGCCAGGGGGGCCGCCAAGAACAACGCGGCCCACTGCGTGTGACACGCCACTTTATTGTTGTCGTGATGCACGAGTCTGCCCCCCCCCCCACCCACGTGCCCAGGCAGTTGGTACGATCCAACTCTGGGGGGGGGGTGTCAGTCGCCCCCCCCCCCCGTGCCCAGGCAGTTGGTACGATCCAACTCTGGGGGGGGGTGTCAGTCGCCCCCCCCCCCCCCGTGCCCAGGCAGTTGGTACGATCCAACTCTGGGGGGGGGGTGTCAGTCGCCCCCCCCCCCCGTGCCCAGGCAGTTGGTACGATCCAACTCTGGGGGGGGGGTGTCAGTCGCCCCCCCCCCCCCGTGCCCAGGCAGTTGGTACGATCCAACTCTGGGGGGGGGTGGTTCAGTCGCCCCCCCCCGTGCCCAGGCAGTTGGTACGATCCAACTCTGGGGGGGGGGGGGGGTCAGTCGCCCCCCCCGCCGTGCTGAGGCTCAGTTGGTACGATCCAAGTCTGGAAGGGTGGGGGGGGGTCTAGTTGCCTCCCCTCCACCCCTGTGTGCTGACCTCAGTTGGTACGATCCAACTCTGGGGGGGGTCCAGTTGCCCCCCCCCCCGAGTTGATTGGCTGTGACGCCGCCGGGTGGTGGAGGGCTCGCACAGCCGCGCGAGTAACAAAATTATTATTTTTTTTTTAAACAATCTCCGTTTACGCTTCTCAATTTCTTGGTACAAAAATTGTAAATTCACGAATAAATAAATAAGAAATGCTCGCGGATTAAAACACTTTTTCCCGGCAACTTTCCTTAATTTTTTGTTAGTTTCTACGCCGACTGCGTCCACAAAGACGAAGCTCCCCCGTGTAGCCTGCGACAGACTTGGGGCAAGTGCTGTGAGCAGCAGCAGCAGCGGTGGGTGGCCAGCGCCGCGTGCGGGTAGTTCGTTTTAAGGCCGAGTCAACCTAGGGGAGGCCCGGCACCGCTTCGGATAATTAGAATTCATCTTCACCCGCTGGTGTTGGTGGTCGCCTGGATCGTAGGGCAACTTAGCGCTAACCGCTCCCCCCATGATGTACACGCAGACACACGTAGACACACATAGACACGCACACGCACGCAGACACACACACACAGACACACACACAGACACACGCAGACACATGCACACACACACACGCAGACACGCACGCAGACACACGCAGACACATGCACACACACAGACACGCAGACACACACAGAAACACGCACACACACACACAGACACGCACACACACGCAGACACGCACACGCACGCAGACACACGCAGACACGCACACGCACGCAGACACATGCACGCACACGCACGCAGACACACACACACAGAAACACGCACACACACACACAGACACGCACACACACGCAGACACGCACACAGACACACGCAGACACATGCACACACACAGACACGCAGACACACACAGAAACACGCACACACACACACAGACACGCACACACACGCAGACACGCACACGCACGCAGACACACGCAGACACGCACACGCACGCAGACACATGCACGCACACGCACGCAGACACACACAGAAACACGCACACACACACACAGACACGCACACACACGCAGACACGCACACGCACGCAGACACACGCAGACACGCACACGCACGCAGACACATGCACGCACACGCACGCAGACACACACACACAGAAACACGCACACACACACACAGACACGCACACACACGCAGACACGCACACAGACACACGCAGACACATGCACACACACAGACACGCAGACACACACACACAGAGACACGCACACAGACACACGCAGACACGCAGACACGTGCACGCACGCAGACACGTAGAGACGCGCACACACACGCATAAATATAAACACTCCCATGAAAAACTCAAATAGAAACACGCAACGCATGCAAATACACAACCACTGAGTGGCAGTGATGTCACCACGGTGCTTGTGCCAGGCTAGGTGCACCTTTGAGGCAGGTCACGGACGGACGCAGGTGCCGTGGGTTGACTGCTGTGCCAGGCTAGGTGCAGGCTAACACGGGAAAGACTCAGCAGGTGCCAACTGCTGATAAAGGCTTGAAATGGGCGTAGCCCAAATGTCGGCAGCCAATGAAAATGTTGGTGGCGGGCAGCGACCGTGACGGCGGTGGGTTTCCCACCAATCGGAGCGCTGCCAAGTAGAAATTAGCATGTTCCTGTAAGATCGTTCAGCGGCCTCCACAGCCTGGATAGTAAAGCTATTGTATTTCTTCATTTGAAGGCGGTATAGTACTGTAGTGCTAGAGCAAGTGCAGAATCGCTGAACCGGAATTGATCGCTTGACAGCGTTCAGCGCGGGGCCCTTGAAAGTGCAGGACTCACCCGTCGCTACGTTTGCTACTTTTGCTTCTCGGATAATCCGGCACTGCTCGACAAATTCAAACAAACACACGCTTCGATAGCGATGCACAGCGCGGGCCCACACCAGAGCTACAGCCCAGAGGTCGCAACCGGGTACCCGATACCGGTACCCTACCCGATACCCGGTTACCCGTACCCAGCCGGGTACGGGTACCCGTTTGCGACCCTGGTGCGGCCGGGTACGGGTACGGGTAGGCCGTGAGTCACTGGTGAGTCACCGTTTGTCACTCATTTCGGGTAGGGTACGGGGTAGGGAACGGGTACCCGTACCCAGCCGGGTACGGGTACCCATTTGCGACCCTGGTGTGGCCAGGTACGGGTACGGGTAAGGAATCAAAACCCGTTTGCGACCTCTGCTACAGCCTCTTCCTCCGTGGCTCAGTCTCGCCGCTTTTCGCCGGCAAGTCTACGCACGGCGCACGCTTCAAACTGTCCACTTCAGGCACCTGCGAACGCACGAAGGCACACGCGCACGCATTAGAAACACGCCAACAACGCGGCAAAAACAACACCAATGAGCAGGTAGGGGTGACGCGTGTGTGTGTACGCGCGTGTGCGAGTCTACGCGTGTGTACGTTGGTGTGTCTGCCAGTCGTCTCAGTTGACCCGTGGCACCTGCTGGGTCTGCCCCGTGACCTGCCAGCGGGCGTTCGACACTTCACGTGGCCTCAAGGTGCACATTGCCTGGCACAAGCGTCGTGGAGACGTCACCGCCACTTAGTGGCAAATGGCGGTTGTTGGTGTGTGCATGTGTACGTGTGTGTCCGTGTGTGTCCGCGTGTGTCTGCGTGTGTCAGCGCGTGTACGTGCGTGTGTGTGTCAGCGCGTGTGTACCGCGTGTCGTGGTGCACCGCGAGGCAGCGCACGCAGCAGCAGCGCGCCCCGCACGACACGCACGTGTACGTGTGTGTGTGTACGTGTGTGTGTGTGTACGTGTGTGTGTGTGTGTACCTTCTGTCGTGGTGCACCGCGAGGCACCGCACGCAGCAGCACCGCGCCCCGCACGACACGCACGTGTACGTGTGTGTGTACGTGTGTGTACGTGTGTGTACGTGTACGTGTGTGTGTGTACGTGTGTGTGTGTACGTGTACGTGTGTGTGTACCTTGTGTCGTGGTGCACCGCTAGGCACCGCACACAGCAGCACCGCGCCCCGCACGACACGCACGTGTACGCCGCCGGGAAGCCGCACACAGCGCAGAAGCGGCGCGGGGGCCTTGGAGAGGGTGGCACCCCCACCGTCACGTAGCTGGGGCCCCCCTCGCTCGCCGCAGACAAGTTCTACAACGACAAGGGGGGGGGGGCCCCCGGTAGCCTCTCGACGGACCGTCGGGGTGGCCCCGGCTCCGTCTGCCCCGGTGGACGATGCCGGGGGCTCGTTTGAGGCTGGGTCAACCTAGGGGGAGGCCCAGGACCGGTTCGGAGAATCGTCACTGCTGGTGTCGGTGGCCGTGGGCGGGAATCGAAACTCACGCGTACACACGCGCGTACACACGCACGTACACACGCGTACGCACGCACGTACACACACGTACACACGTACACACGCACACACGCACGTACACACACACCACACCCACACGTACACACACACCACACACGCACGTACACACGTACACACGCATGTACACACACGTACACACGCACGTACACACGCACGTACACACACGCACGTACACACGCACGTACACACGTACACGCACGTACACACACGTACATACAACAACAACAACCACCATTCGCCACTAAGTGGCGGTGACGTCACCACGACGCTTGTGCCAGGCCATGTGCACCTTGAGGCCACGTGAAGTGTCGAACGCCCGCTGGCAGGTGGTCACGGGGCAGACCCAGGTGCCACGGGTCGACTGACCGAGATGACCGAGATGACTGGCTGATGCACCACCTGTGCCCCCTACTGTACCAACTTGCTGTGCTTTAGCCACCCGGCGCTCCGCTCGTTGTTGTGAGCGTCGCTCCTCCGCCCTCCGTTGTTGTTGGAGGGCGACTGCCTCCAACTGCCCAGTAGCGTCCTTCACGAGCCTCCTCCACTGAGGCCGATCTTGACACCGCTGGTACCAGTCATCGGCAAGTCCACTCAGCTCCACGTCCTCCTGTACCACATCACTCCATCTCTTCTCTAGCCCGTGCCGCGCCCGTTTAGCCCCCTCGATCCGGCCGAACAAAAGCTGTTTAGGCATGCGCTGGCTGGGCAAGTCACACGTACAACAACAACAACCGCCATTCGCCACTAAGTGGCGGTGACGTCACCACGATGCTTGTGCCAGGCCAAGTGCACCTTGAGGCCACGTGAAGTGTCGAAAGCCTGCTGGCAGGAGGTCACGGGGCAGACCCAGGTGCCACGGGTCGACTGACCGAGATGACCGAGATGACTGGCTGATGCACCACCTGTGCCCCCTACTGTGCCAACTTGCTGTGCTTTAGCCACCCGGCGCTCCGCTCGTTGTTGTGAGCGTCGCTCCTCCGCCCTCCGTTGTTGTTGGAGGGCGACTGCCTCCAACTGCCCAGTAGCGTCCTTCACGAGCCTCCTCCACTGAGGCCGATCTTGACACCGCTGGTACCAGTCATCGGCAAGTCCACTCAGCTCCACGTCCTCCTGTACCACATCACTCCATCTCTTCTCTAGCCCGTGCCGCGCCCGTCTAGCCCCCTCGATCCGGCCGAACAAAAGCTGTTTAGGCATGCGGTGGCTGGGCATGCGGGCTACATGACCCAGCCAACGCAGCCTTGCCTGCCGGAGGAGCTCACTGATGGGACTTTGCCCAGATCTTTCAAGGATTTGTGAGCTCCTCACACAATCCAGCCTGGTTAAACCCAGGATGGATCGTAGGCAGGCCAGCCTAAATGTTTCCAACTGGCGAAGATGCTCCACCAGGGGGGTCCACGTCTCGCAAGCGTAGAGAAGGGAGGGAATGACCGTGGCCGAGAAGACCTGAAGCTTCGTGCGGAGCGACAGACCAGGTAGCTTCCACACAGCGTTACGCAACCGATGAAAAGATATTGCCGCTCGACTGATTCGGAGTGAGACCTCTGCTGATAGACTGGAGCCGGTCATAAGCACACTGCCCAGGTATGGGAAACTCTCCACTCTCTCCACAACTGCCCCATCACCAATTGGGAGTTGTGGGGGTGGAGTGTCCGATGGTACAAAATACCCAGGCAGGTGCTTAGTTTTGGTGGGGCTGATGGTAAGGCCCCACCTCTTAGTGGCACGCTCCAGTCTCAGCAGCAGCGTCTCCAACTCCTCTTCTGAATGAGCAGCTATTACCAAATCATCGGCATACATAACATGGTTGACCAATAGGGAGCCATCCCTTGATCGCACCCGGGCGTCGATCAGCCTCCCATTATATCTGTACCAAATGGAAATTCCCCCGGTACAGCTATTGAAGGCTTCACGAACTACGCGGTCAAAATAGGTGTTAAATAATGTGGGAGCCAGAGGACATCCCTGTCGCACCCCAAGGTGTACAGGGAAAGGCTCCGACTCCCGGCCACGTAGTTTTACCCGGGCCCGCTCACCATCATGAAGGTCCTTAATGATCGTGAGCAGAGGGTCAGGGACTCCGAAAGCACGAAGAACAACCCAGAGCCCAGGCCTACTGATGGTATCATAGGCCTTGACCAGGTCAATAAAGCAGAGATGTAGGTCTTTTTGGAATTTCCTACACCTCTGCTGTAGCAGACGGACAGAAAATATGGCATCTGTGCAGGACCGCCCTTTCCTGAAACCGCATTGGGGCTCCGCAAGCCTCTCCTCAGCGTGCCTAGCAAGGCGATGTTGAATAATCCTTGCCAGGACCTTACCCGGCACACTGAGGAGTGAGATGCCCCTGTAGTTGTTACAGTCGGTACGGTCCCCCTTCTTAAAGAGGGGGACCACCAGGGCATCCTTCCAGTCCTGCGGAACCCGTCCAGTGGTCCAGACTGTTGTTATGATGTAATATAGGGCAGTCTGCGCACAAACGCCACCCTCCCTCAGCATTTCGCTTGGGAGATCATCTCTGCCCGATGCCTTCCCTGGTCTCAGACTCCGGATCGCCCTCAGTACTTCCTCAACAGCTGGCACCTCAGCCAGCCACTCACAGGGGGTGACCTCTTCCAATATTTGAGGCACCGCAGCCTCAGCAGGGTTATCACCACTTTGTGCCATGATGTTTTCCTGGCTGAGAGAATTTCCCTCCCCCAGGACCTCACAGAAATGCTCAGCAAATCTGCAAACCTGTTCCTGGGGGTCGGAGATTGGATCACCGTTTTTTCCTCTAATGATGGTAATAGGTGTGGCGCTGCAGGTTACTTTTTTGATGGAGTTAAATAGTGATTTGTGATCACGGGCCACTGAGGCAGACTCCATCTCCTCAGCAACCCGCGACCACCACCCATCCTTACAGCGCCTTACGGCTCTCCGAACTTCCGAGCGAAGGCTGCGGTAAACCTCCTCATTCTCTGACGTGGGATGCTGTAGGCGATGAGAGTGGGCCTGACGCTTTTTCTCAATTAACCTGAACACCTCCTCTGTCAGCCAGGGTTTCTGGGGAGGTCTGGACCGCGTACCCAAAGCAGCCATTGCAGCTGCATGAGTCACAGTCTTAAACCTCGCCCATTTCCCCTCGACATCAGGTGGAGTGGGGGACGATGCCAACCCCAGCTGCAAGCGATGATGAAATTCTCGCTTGCAACTTTCATCAGCTAACTGAGACCAGGCCACTTTTGGTTGGAATGGGATCCTGGGTGTACACCCACCACCGGAGTGGAAGAAAGGCAGGCGCATCTTACAGATGACTAGTCGATGGTCAGAGGACAGATCAGCTCCACGGTAGGTCCTGGTGTAAAGGACATGGGTTCGCATCCGCTGGTCCGTCACTATGTAGTCCAGCAGATGTTCTTGCTTGGACCCGGCATGTATCCATGATGTTGTGTGGATGCGCCGATGCCGGAAGAGCGTGTTGGTAATTACAAGCCCATGGGCTGCGCAAAAATCTAGCAGCCTCCTACCGTTATTATTGAGCTGATCTGGCCCATGCCTTCCAATCACTCCAGATCAGGTACCAGCATCATGACCAACTCGGGCATTGAAGTCACCCAACAATGA